TGTTGTGTCCTGACTTTTCTCATTTCACCTTTTGGCAGAGCTAATATCATGGAACAGGCAACAATTTTTGAAAATTGGTTTAACTGAGAACTTTTCAGCACCCCCCATCCCATGTGTATGTGTAAGAGAGATAGAGAGAGAGAGAGAGAGTTTCTGTAGCAATGCTTACTCTAAAAATGTTCTATTAAATAGAACAAATGGGGATATGTTTAGACTGGCTATTTCTTGGCTTCCAATTTTTTTTTTCCTTGAAAACAACCAATGAATGGTCAAACGTAACAGAATTTCTACAAGTTACTTTACAACGATCTCTTCCTGATATCCAAACAACTTATTAGGAAGCAGTAGAAATAGACAGAAAGGTTTAACAGAAGGAATATATGTGCCGAGTTATTATCGCCATATATAAAGAAATGCTGAAACAAACGCACATGTTTGTTAAAACTTGGAACTCAAAATTGGTAAGGCTTCTTTCACACTTTCTTTTACTCTATCTTATCTTTCTACCCAACTTTCCTCTACTACCTTATCATCCACCCCTAGAGTAACGTGCACACCCTGGTCTTCCTCCATAACCCCTTTAGATTCAGCTCATAAGGAGACTCTCACTGCTCCTCATCCAACAAATCAGGTTCACTATTTATAGATTTCCAGCAACACCATGCCTCATGTTATGTAATCTAATTAGGCCCAGAGGGCAAACCTAAATCACAAGTTTGCCCAGACATATGGGTCCCTACTCTATTCAAAAAGTACAGAGGGGTACCCTCTGGACTTTGGGGCTACCTTCACCCTCTATTTAAAAAAAAAAAAAAAGAGAGAAAAAAAAAAATGGTTAGGGAGGAAAGCAATAGTTAACTATATATCTTTGATCTCTAGTCATTACCGATTATCAGGGTACTCCCTAAGAGCAATCATTAGTTGCATTGATTCATTTGTCTTTGGTTTGAAAGATCTTCAATCTCTGGTCTCCTATATTTACAATCCGTCTTTTTAGCCTCCAGTTGCACATTAACCCTTACAATCGTGTTTTACCCAGAAGAATGCAGGGAGTGGGGCGTGAGGAAATCGACCACAGCTGTTTTCTAGATTTTGAAAGGAAGGATTTCTATTATTGTACATTTCTTTTTAAGGGTTTTTTTTTTTTTTTTTTTCAGACAGTAATTGATGACATATAGAGAGGAAGTTGTTTATTGCAGACGCAGATGATGTTGTGGAACTGCTGTTATTAAAAGAAGTTGAGCTCAAAATATTTAAAATAGATTTTTAAAAAGTAACAATTTCAGAAGGATGTGCAGGTCGTGTAAGTGGAATCGGAGAGCAGGGTTCAATTTCTAGGATAGTCTGTTGGGTTCAATTCTACACAAATACCCTAGAGAAAGGGAGGAATTTGTCCCTTCTCACAACTATGGATTAAATAACAGGGAAGATTGGACTCTAGCAACCAACCTAAGAGAATGAAAATTCTGAATTCTAAACAGTGGAGCGAGCAATTAGAAACCACTCAACTATCTTTCCCAAAAATGGTTCCTTGCTTATTTATTTTTTCTTATATTCTTATCATTTTCTTTTACTATTATTATCATTATAATATTTTATTTTACTATTATTATTATATTTTATTCTTATCATTTTTTTATTTATCATTATTTTTACTATTATTATCATTATAATATTTTATTTTACTATTATTATTATATTTTATTTTACTATTATCATTATTATATTTTATTTTAATATTATCATTATTATTATTATTTTATTTTATATTTTTTATTTTACTATTATCTATTATTATTTTATTTTTTACTATTAATATTTTATTTTTACTATTATTTTTATTTTATTATTATTATTATATTTTATTTTACTACTATTATTATTATTATTATTATTAATATTTTATTTTTTATTTTACTATTATTATTATTTTTATTTTATTATTATCTTATATTTTTTATTTTATTTTACTATAATTATTTTCTTATTATCATCATTATTAAATTTTCTTTTACTATTATTTTATTATGGAATGATAGTAGTAATTTTTCATCTTATTTTTATTTGCTACATGGTGTTCTATACTACATACCTATGCATGCTGCACCTGAAGGAGGTCTATCTCAAAAGTCCCTTGTTCCACTGGTAGTGACACATTTTATTCTCAATATAGTCAGCTTTAGAAATGTTTTACTTATACACTTTAAATAACTTTAGTTTATTTAATTGAAGTAAGTATGAGGTTTATTTAATTTCTTTCAGACTCATTTTATGTTTATTGCAAAAAACAGATTTTTGCGCAAAAGTCACTAAAAGAAAAAAATCTAATTTAAAAATCTGTTTTGTCACTTGAAAGTTTATTTTGAACCTTTTCATTTAGTTAATGTAACATTTTCCCCTGAAAACTAATTTAATATTTATATTCCTCTCTACAAATATTTTTATTCAGGAAAGCAAAGACACTACAGATTAACTCCATTTTTTTTTATTTCTTTTTTTGAACAGGTAAAAATATATGTTAAATTTTACCTCAACCTTATGTCATTTTTTAGATGCTAACTTTAAAGAAAAATTAAGTATACACTAACAAAAAAGCATAATTTCAATGGATTTAAACAAATAATTTGTCAGTCAAACTTAGTTTTTTTTCCTTACAAATGTTACTAAAAAACTGGAACACATTAATTTTAACAATGTTTTTCTATTTAATTTTTAAATAGATGATACAAATATATCTACTGTTCAATAATATATAAAAGAAGTATATAGATAAAATATGAAGAATAAAAATTCGTATAAAAATTTCATGTTAATTTAAGATATATTTTGAAGAATAAAAAAGCTGAGCTAACACAGAAAATTTCATGTTAATTTATTGCTGGTTGAAGTGTTTGTATATTTTGTGCTTAAAGTCAAAGTTTGGGAAAAAAGCTACAGCTAACACTGTTACTATTATTATTATTATTATAATCTTAACTGCTATTATTATTATAAATACTACTACTATTACTACTACAATAATTACTACTATTATTATTATTACTACTACAGTAATTACTACTATTATTATTATTACTACTACTACAATAATTACTATTATTATTACTACTACTACAATTAATTACTACTATTATTATTATTACTACTACTACAATAATTACTACTATTATTATTATTACTACTACTACAATAATTACTACTATTATTATTATTACTACTACTACAATAATTACTACTATTATTATTATTACTACTACTACTACTACTATTATCATTTTATTCAACATTTTAATTTACTACTATTAAGTAAACAATTATTATTTACCAATAATTACTAAATTTTTTACTACTACCAATAATTACTATTTTTATTATTACTATTTGTAACCTACAACATTTTAATTCTGTAAGTAAACAAGTTTTTAGCCAATTTTCAGCAATGAGACTGTGTTATTAACAGAGATAATTAACAGGAAAAAAACTGCTTGATGGGGTCTGTGGGTGCTGATAGCATTGTAGAAAGTAAAACAAGGTGGGACAGTAAAAAAAACTTAGGATTAATAAAAATGGAAAAAATGGATTTTAAGAAAAAAAAAAAAAAAATGATGAGAAATTAGTCTGATTATCAGTTACAGTATGAAAAGAAGACTGAAAGGTAAGTAAGTAAATATATATGTATTTGTCCTAAGTCTTTTTGTAGTCTCTGGCTGGCTTAAGAAAGCCAACAGACTAATAGGTTACTACTACTAAGAACAATAAACAGGAGATAGTGAGAGTGTGTTGTTGGAGAGAGTGGGGACAACAAGAAGAGAGGCTTTTTCTATTTCTTTTTAATGGAGAACTCTCCAAATGCCTGACCTATTTCCTTCCCTTTAGAATAGCCATTACAACTAACTGCCTCTTTGCAGATTGGAGTCAACAAAAATAGAAGACTGGTAACGACAAATGTACTCATCATGGGGATCAGATAGAAAGAAAGGGAATTCATAAAAAGAGAGAGAGAGAGAGAAAAAAAAGCCCTCATTAATAGAATTTCCAATGGAAGCAGTAATGGTATTAAAAATAAAAAAAATAAAAATATTAATAATCCCATGGAAACTGGGATTATTATTAACAGAAGAAGTAATCATTATATTTAGATTTTAAGAATAATGGGTTGAAGAAAGAATTCCAGAAATCACACGGACTGGAAGTAATTGAACTTCCAAGATGTTTTTATCCTGATTTGACACTCGGGAATCGTAACTATAGATCTTTTTTTCAGCATCTTCCTGGATAAAGGACCCACTTAGAGCAGTCACTGAAAATTAATTAACCTAATTCTGAATTCTTTATTTAATGTACCATCACTATGCCTACCTAAAAGTTTCCTTTCTATACAAAGGATTAACAGTATTATACTGAAATTCAGAACATCTCTCTTCACTGTAGGGATACAGAAGGCAGTTATCTCTCTTTGGTAGAGATAAGTCACATGATGACTACTTAGTGACTTCACTTCATACAGTGATGAGACTGGCTTCTGTAAACTGACTGAATGATTGGCCAAACTGAGAGGTTGCTTTCTTTAGCAAGGATGTCCTGTGTAAAGGCTAAATCTACCTCCTGAACAGCTTAAAGACACGTGGTGCTGTTTCCCCTATGGGAATATATCTTTTTCAGATATAGAAAGAAACTCCGGTTCACAAGCCTCAACTTGAGAAAACCCAAGACTCGCTGTTTCCCCTTCCTGTGACATAGTAGATGAATCTGGCTTGTTTGAAACATGGCTTCTCCAGAAACACAGAATAATCTCCATATTATAAGTAAGACTTTTACTTTTTGTTTCTCCTTACACTCTGCTTGCTGTGCAGATATTATTCTCCGCATGAGACACTTGTATATATATATGTATATATAGTTTTGTGTAAGTCTTAATAGTATAAAAGTCTCTGTGAGAATAAAGCCCGTTTATCATTCCTTTTCCTTTCAGCTATTCTGTGAAGATATATAATGCCAACCTGTGGAATGGTGGGGGGAGAGAGACGAGTCGACCTGCGAGTGGAGGTGGGGAGAGAGACGAGTCGACCTGCGAGTGGAGGCGGAGGAGAGAGCGAGAGAGACGAGTCGACCTGCGAGTGGAGGCGAGGAGAGAGCGAGAGAGACGAGTCGACCTGCGAGTGGAGGCGCAGGGAGAGGAGGGCGTGGAGAGAGACAGAGCGAGAGAGAGGCGACCTGGAGTGGAGGTGGGGAGAGAGAGAGACGAGTCGACCTGCGATTGGAGGTGGGGGAGAGAGAGAGACGAGTCAACCCAGAGAAGGGGGGAAAGAGAGAGAGAGAACCGGTCGAAGGGGGAGAGAGACGAGATGACCCAGAGAGAAGGGGAAAGAGAGGATGACCTGGAGAGAAGAGGGGAAAGAGACGAGATGACAAGTAGAGAAGGGGGGGAGAGAGAGACGAGATGACCAAGTAGAGAAGGGGGGGGAGAGACGAGATGACCTGCGAGAGAAGGGGGGAAAGAGACGAGATGACCCAAGTAGAGAAGGGGGGGAAAGAGACGAGACGACCTCAAGTAGAGAAGGGGGAAAGAGAGAAGGGGGAAAGAGACTAGACGACCCAAGAGAAAAGGGGGAAAGAGACGAGACGACCCAAGTAGAAAAGGGGGGAAAGAGACGAGGACGACCCAAGTAGAGAAGGGGGGTGAGAGACGACCCAAGTAGAGAAGGGGGAAAGAGACGACCCCAAGTAGAGGGGGGTGAGAGACGAGACAACCCATAGGGGGGGTGAGAGGGGGTGAGAGGGGGTGAGAGAGAAGAGACAACCTGCGAGAGGGGGGTGAGAGAAGAGACGACCATGGGGAGAGAATGGCAAAGCAACCAATAAAGTTAAAATGAAAAAAATAACAGTTAATGACTGAATATTTCTAAATGAAATAAAACATAAAAAAACCCATTAAAACCAGAGAAAAAAAAACCTCTTTCATTTTGATTTACAGAAGGTTCTGTGTTAAAATGATTTTCAGAGATGTGAGACAAATTTTAAAATGTCCATTACAACAAATGTAAACGACAAAAAAAAAAAAAAAAAAACATCTGCATTAAAAAGAACAGGAGGATGAGGGAGTTTAAAACTGCTAGCAGCCATTCGTTTTTTGAAATTGTAACATTCAGCAAATTGTTTTATTCTTGATGTGTTTTAATGTAAGTAGCGTTTAATTTTCCTTCTCTGACCCTTCACTTTGTTGAAAAGCTCATAGTTCTGTCGTCTATCGATTAACAACGATAAAAAGTGGAAAAAAAAAAACAACAAAAAAAAAAAAATGAAAATAATGATAGTAAAAAGATGAGGAACTGATTACTCAGTGCTTCAGTATTTTAATTTATCAATGTCTCCGAGAAGACATTAAATGGCTTTCAATGATTTTGCCTGAGAAAATAAACTGGATCTTCTGAGAAATGGCAATGACAAAGAACACATTCCATGGAGTATGGATCTCAATTTCCACCTAAAAGTTTCCCCAGCATGTTATCAGCTCTAACGTAACTATTATTATTATTAGTAGTACTACTAATATAATTTAATAAATAAGTTCATGGCTATATAGAGACGATTACTAGTATAATATTACTAGTATAATATAGTATTCTTTTCTTTTATAGGCCGTGTCCATGGCTCTACACTTTCCCCTATCTCTTGTAGCTCTCAATAAGTCTACTTGCTTAAGCCTGCCAGGTATGTCATGCGTTGTTTTCCCTTGTCTCCTTTTCCCTCTATTTGACCTGTGAGTATCAAATTCTCTTCTGATGTTAAGAATAAGCCTCCTCCTTGTTTGCATCCTCTCCAAGACCTCATCGTTGCTCACACGCTTGGTCCATATCCTCAGCATCCTTCTTTAGAACCACATCTCCGTCCCCTCGAGTCTCTTCTTCATCTTTGAGAAGACCGTCTAACATTCGTTGCCATTACGAGGTTTAATCATTTTGATTATTTGCCTTCATTTAAAACAATCGCGACCTGAAGATCCTTTGCAATGAAAATCACAAATTTCTAATAATTATATTGATTGCAGGAGTTAGTAACGAAATTTGAATTTGGCCTGCCAATTCCAATATCAATTATACTATTCTGACATCTAAACAAAATGACAAACCTTAAAAAAAAGGTAAAAAAAAGCAATATCTATGCGAGAAATAAATAAATTCAAACATTTAATATATATATATATATATATATATACACACACACACACAAATACATAGACATAATAGGCCTGTTAATGGTTTTGAGGAATAAAAAGACAACATTATGATAATTCCGTCAATAAGATTGATTATATATATATATCATGTCAGCGTCCTTTTTCAAAGAGACGAGACATAAAGAATATTATCATTATGTTGTTTTTCATTTCTCAAATTTCATTAACAGGCCTATTAAATCTACATATAAGAAGCATATGTGGACCATCTTTTATTTTAATATATATATATATATATATATATATATACACACACACACACACACACACACAGGCATCAACCTTTCTCTTAAATGTTTTGTCGAATATGATGGAAAAAATTTGATGATTTTTTTAATTTAGTTTTTCCAACAATTTTATATTTGGACAGTATAGATAATTTTTGCGCTATTTTACTCTCAGCAAATGGAAAAGTGTAAGAATGTTGGAAGACCTAAATAAAAAATGAATTGCATTTTTCTTGTCTGTTGTATTCAATGAAATTATATATATATATATATATAATGTGTGTGTGTGTTTCAAGTTTCTTGCTACTCAATCGTGATTTCAATGGGAAGTGTTCCGACGAAGTACATTCATTAGTTACACTAGTTCTAATCGTCACGGTTAAGACCTACCATGCCACAAACATTGTAGCGAACGACCTTCATTCTGTACATATGTCATTCTTCCCACAAGCCATTACTTTGTGGAAGTGACTCCCAAGAGGTTGCTTTCCTGATTACTATAATTTAAACCTGTATACGTCTAGATTTAACAGTCATCTTCCCCATATATCCTCATAAACTGTTACGCTATATCCCTTTACTTTGAGAGGCTCTTAAGCCTTATATAGAGTAGACATTATTGTCAAAGTTTCTTAAAAATTCTTCTTGTAGAAAAGAACATTTTTTTTATCCAACCACCAGAATTAAGGTGGTCGGCTTTGGATGGAAGTGTATGCAAGAAAGACACAAACAAAATTGAGAGGTGAGAGTATTATAGATTTAAATGGGATTGGGAGATGTCTTCAAATGGTGGTGGTGGTGGTGCTGGTTGGTGTCGGGGTGGAGAAAAGAGCGTTTTGAAAGTCAATCAACAAATAAAAAGGCATTTTAAAAGTTATTGCTTGGCAGTTGCAAAAATGGTAAAAGTGTTGGCGGTGGCATCACGCACAATTTACCATCAGAGTTGATCCTCAGACAGCACTTAATAAAAGAGAGCTACCCCCACCACGCCACACCAGAAACACTCACAAAAAAAAAAAAAAAAAAAAACACAGAATAAATAACAAGCAGTTTCTTCCATTTTCCTCAGGAATGCTTTTAAAATTGCTTAACAATTATTAAGTTGAGTCATAAGTAATTTCCGTTCATGGAAACCAATTGTAATAACAAATGCATCATACTAAGTAACAGTTCCTGAAGTAGATCATAACAGGTGATGAAAAGTGGCTTGTATACAACAATGTTCAAAGCATAAAGCAGTGAATTGTCAAGGATAAACCCACACAACTGATACCAAAAGCTGGGCTCAATTGAAGAGAGCTAAAGTTATATATGTACAAAGATAGTCATTTGATAATCTTGTGAGTGAAATAACAGGTACTGAACGAGTTTCTATATAATTATTGGACAATGTTCTTTTCAGTTATAGTGTTTATTGAGTTGATAGGTAGTATTTTTGTTATTTCATTTTTGCAGATTATTTAAGCTTTTCGCTTCACATTTTATATGAAATGATTAGAATACTGAAGGTTTTTAAAAAGATTTTCAGTGTATTTTCTTTGTATTGCAAATATTGAGGACTATACATTCAAACTGCTCTTAAGTGGAAACCTATCAGTATTTGTGATTTTATTTTGTGGAGGTGTGAATAGACGTTTGAGATAATTTTAGTTTTAAATCTTTATCATTAAGGTTTAATATAATATCAAGAAAGATAGAGTCAAATCGGGGAGAGAGAGAGAGGTATGCATCAAGAGAGAGTAATGAGTGTATCTCGAGAGAGAGAGAGAGCCAGAATAGAAGAAGTGTATCCAGAGAGAGAGAGAGAGAGAGAGAAAGAAAGGAATGTATCCAGAGAGAGAGAGAGAGAAAGACAAGAGTGTATCCAGAGAGAGAGAGAGAGAGAGAGAAAGAAAGGAATGAGTGTATCCAGAGAGAGAGAGAGAGAGAGAGAGAAAGAAAGGAATGTATCCAGAGAGAGAGAGAGAGAGAGAGAGAAAGAATGAGAGAGAGAGAGAGAGAAAAAGAAAGGGATGTATCCAGAGAGAGAGAGAGAGAAAGAAAGGAATGTATCCAGAGAGAGAGAGAGAAAGAATGGAATGTATCCAGAGAGAGAGAGAGCCAGAATAGAAGAAGTGTATCCAGAGAGAAAGACATGAGTGTATCCAGAGAGAGAGAGAGAGAAAGAAAGGACATGAGTGTATCCAGAGAGAGAGAGAGAGAGAGAAAGAAAGGAATGTATCCAGAGAGAGAGAAAGAAAGGAATGTATCCAGAGAGAGAGAGAGAGAGAGAAAGAAAGGAATGTATCCAGAGAGAGAGAGAGAGAGAGAGAGAGAAAAAAGGAATGTATCCAGAGAGAGAGAGAGAAAAAGAAAGGAATGTATCCAGAGAGAGAGAGAGAGAGAAAGAAAGGAATGTATCCAGAGAGAGAGAGAGAGAGAAAAGAAAGAATGTATCCAGAGAGAGAGAGAGAGAGAGAGAAAAGAATGGAATGTATCCAGAGAGAGAGAGAAAGAATGGAATGTATCCAGAGAGAGAGAGAGAAAAGAATGAATGTATCCAGAGAGAGAGAGAGAGAAAAGAATGGAATGTATCCAGAGAGAGAGAGAGAGAGAAAGAATGGAATGTATCCAGAGAGAGAGAGAGAGAGAATGGAATGTATCCAGAGAGAGAGAGAGAGAGAGAGAGAGTATCCAGAGAGAGAAAGAAAGAATGGAATGTATCCAGAGAGAGAGAGAGAGAGAGAGAAAGAAAGAATGGAATGTATCCAGAGAGAGAGAGAGAGAGAGAGAGAAAGAAAGAAAGAAAAAGAATGGAATGTATCCAGAGAGAGAGAGAGAGAGAGAGAGAGAGAGAGAAAGAAAGAATGGAATGTATCCAGAGAGACAGAGAAAGAAAGGAATGTATAGAGAGAGAGAGAGAGAGAGAATTAGAGAGAGAGAGAGAGATGGGTGTGTAGAGAGAGAAGGAGAGTGTGGAGATGGTATTGAAAGAGAAAGATTAGATTGAAATGCAAATACACAAAATGACAGAGAGAGAGCTAAACAAGACAAAAGTGACCAGAGCCGTCTGTTTCTCTCCACTCCCTTCTGACCAATCAACCCCAACCCCAAAGTCGTGAATCTTAATTAATAGAAGGTTTGCAAGACTGACCAGGCTAATGGCACTGGTGATGTCCACTCCTTGACCGCTATCAATCACTGAGGCCCAGAGGTCAGTCACAGGAGAAGGTCAGGAAGACTACCAGCAAGCAGGGCAAGGTATAAATGAGGGGACCTGGGTGGGGGGTGGCAGTTGCATAGAGGAATGGGGGTACCTTGTTTTATTAAATCACATCATTATTATTAGTATTTCAGAGATAATGGGAAAATGTTGCCAAGCGAACAATATAGGCTAATCTTAAACAGTACACCTTTGCATCGACTCAGCACCTATTTAAATAAAATTGACATTTTTGCATGCTGTTGAAAGAAAAAGTATAATTTTCAAGAAATACATGATAGAATTACAGTTCTTAAAGGGGTGTGGGTGTGGGGGTTAAAACGTTAGTGATTCAAAGAGGAAGTCTTAAAGAAAATGGCATAGAAATAACATATTCTTAAAATCAGGAAGAGACAGTTGGAATTTCTGGGAGCACATAATGACGAAAGAGTGCCTGGAAAACTTAACCCTCAGAGAGTATATCAAGGGCAAGAGAGATTGGGGAGGGTAACTAGCGAAAGTGGGGGCAGGAGCCTTAGCAATGAAAAAAAAAATACCCTGCTAAACGCCACAAATAATAATGAATTGCCATGTCTTGTAGGGACGTAGCACATAGAATAAGAAATGATCCAACCGAGACCAAATTTAGCAAAGATAGAAATTCTTGATGGATGCTGGTTTTTGGACGTAAGTTACTATAATGAACCCAACTAGCATCAGAACTCGGCTCTCTGATTAACAATTCTGAGCCATTACACCACCTGCATACCCAAGCTTAAATCACCTGGAATTCCCAAGCTGATGGGTGCTGGGATTGTCTACACAGACTGATATGGTCATATTTGAGAATGCCCTAAAAAGCACACCACAGGCTGCTGAAAATCTTGCATGTGAATTTGGGTAGATGAAAAATACTGTCCATGTCAGCACGACCTCATTGATCATTCTAACTGAGAGTTTAAGGTTACTAGCCTTGCTCACACTTCTGATCCTGCCAGATTATGCTTCATCTCCCAGAAACTGTAACTAAGGTTCGCTCAGCAATATTTGCAGTAAGTTGGCTAGTCACACGTGTAGCCAGCCATTACATAAAATATCTAAATTGTTGTAACTTTTGTTCTCTCTATCAAAGGTACAAGAGAATGTCAAATAGGTATTACTGAGCTGGTATGTTAAGTGACAATGTAAACAGAAATGAAACTTGAAAGACATTGCCTCTACTCGGCAATGTTAAAGTTTCACTGCGTTACAATGGCAGCGAACAAGGCTGTATTTAAGACACAAATCCATTTCCTTTATCTGTGAAATGCTAAGACTTCTTGGAAAAAAAAAAAATTAAAAAGAATTTTTTTTTCCTTTTCCATGGTTTTAAATTCAGAGCTTTCCTTCTAGACTGACTGCCAATCAAGGCTAGAGTCTAAGTTAAATTAAGTTTAATTTACCTATCAGTTGAAGAAAAATGCTGTTCATGCCTATTCCTAGAGAAATAGTGTGAAAGTGAAGGCAACAGGCGAGGCTGGAATTTGAACTAGGCTGTATTTAAGACACAAATCCATTTCCTTTATCTGTGAAATGCTAAGACTTCTTGGAAAAAAAAAAAAAAAAAGAATTTTTTTTCCTTTTCCATGGTTTTAAATTCAGAGCTTTCCTTCTAGACTGACTGCCAATCAAGGCTAGAGAGTTCAGTCTAAGTTAAATTAAGTTTAATTTACCTATCAGTTAAAGAAAAATGCTGTTCATGCCTTTTCCTAGAGAAATAGTGTGAAAGTGAAGGCAACAGGCAAGGCTGGAATTTGAACCCAGTCTGCTGGCTCCATTTTCATTGCCTTAAATAAAATTGCTAAATAGACACTTGTGCATAGTGTGACATTAACCATGTTAAGCTTTTATCTGCGATAAAGCACAAAATGTCTTGCTTTGAAAATCTATACTTAAAAATAATGGCTTTGATGTGCTATCATTAGGAATAACAGAACCGTTAGTGAGCAAGCAAGTCAAGTTTTGGTTTGTAGTATCGTGTAGCATTCTCACTGGGTGCCTCACTGAGACTTTAAGTCATACTAAGATATAGAGTCAAGAGACACATCACTGGTTTTTGAAACCATTGTTTATGCAATACAATGCCCAAGAACCAAGAAGCATAGGACAAATGTTATTAAGAGCTACAAAAGACATCCTTAATGAGCTTGAGTAGATGGATGGCAGAGCAAGTTTAGGATAGATAACAAAAAGGACACAATTTATTAAGAGCTACAATGGACAGGAAACTGGAGAGCCGTGATCGCCAACATACTGAAGAGACATGGCACATAGAAGAAAAGGAATGGGTTTGTGTAAATGGACTGCAGAACAAGGTTTAGGAGAGATAAGAAAAAAGTTTTTCTTAAGAGCTACAAAGGACAGGAAATTGTGGAGAGCTATGATCGTCAACGTCCTAAAGGAACATGTCACATAGAAGAAGAATGAATTTGTGTAAATGGATGGTGAAATAAGGTTAAGGAGAGATAAGAAAAAAATTTAAGAGCTAGAAGGTACAGGAAATTGTGGAGAGCCATGATCGCCAACATCCTGATAGGACAGGACATGAACAAAAAGGCTTGTTAAAAGGAAGTTCTTAAAAACGTATAAAAGTAGCATTTCTACAAGACAGTCATATAGCCACCCTTAATTTAACAACTCACTTGTGTAGTGATACACGGAAATACGAACATCTATAAAATCACGTAAAGTAAAAAAAAAAAAAAAAAAAATTTAAACCAATTTTCCACTTTGACCTAGACTGTTTATTCTTTCTTCCAAAGTATATAAAGGTTGACTCAAGACTTGAAGTGGATAAGATTGTAATGATTGGGGAAGCATCCTCTTGGGAGTCGGTTCCACCAAGTAGTTGTTTTTTTACCAATGAGATATGAAAGAAACGAGGATGATTCATTTTGTATTTAGCATGGCCGGCTTTAACTGCGAAGGCCTAAAATGGTGAGACAAATGAATGTAGCTGGTCAGAACATTGGCCATGGAAATAGCGATAGAGTTAGCAAATATCTTGCATCTTTCCGTTTAAGAGAAAGGGTTGTAGGGCGGAAAAGTAATTAATCACCCATAAGGCCGCGTAGTCTCTTTTGATCTCTGTCAAGGCTAGAAAGCAAGAAATAAGCAGCTCCGGTCCAGATATGGGCATATATTCCATTCTGGGTTTAAATGGTATTTATTGTTGACAAAAAAAAAAAAAAGAAAAAAAGTAGTATTTTATATATTTTTGAGATGAGATGTTTATATTCACAATGTTTCGGCCTTTGTACGCCACGCTGGACTTTCGAACCAAACCCTTCATGGGGGTAGATTGTAATTTGAGCTCTGGTGAAAAAAAAAAAATAAATAAATAAATAAAAAAATAAATGGTTACTGAATCATTAGACTTATAAGTGCCAGAAATTCACTCCTTGATGTCTCCAGTGGATAAAAGCGTTGATTGAGTAATCCAAAAAGTGACTTGACCCAAAGAGTTGTGAGTTCGATATTTGGCTACAGCAGAGGCAATAAAAATGTGTAGAGTTGAGTTACTAAAGGGAAATAACAAACAGATATCCTGAAAATGCATGGCATGTGGAATTAGAACAATCAACTGTGGACTAAATAACGGGTTCCGTTCGACATTTAAAAATACCGGAACGATCACGAACAACGCCTGAGATGTCGTGAATATGGCAATAATGATGAAGACAACAGCCCGAACAATGTAAATAGTGTTAAGAAAAAAAAAAAAAAAAAAGAAAAGTAACACTTGACTCTCCGCTTTTGAAAACAATTTTTCAGTGGAAAACTTACGGCTTTGCTCTCATAAAAAAAAAATAAATAAATAATATATATATATATATATATATATATATATATATATATCTCGATCGCAAAAGCGTGAAACCCAGGGTCACAAACTCACATCAATCCAACCATATATATAACACGTTTTCATTTTACCTTAGCCTAGCACAAGGCCAACAGGAACGGAGAAAAATAAGGAAGTATGGTGCGACAATTCTTACTGAAGTGATGACCATTAAAACCTGTAATCGAGTACTTAATCCAAACAAGATTTCCACGTGAGGTTTGGAAAATATGGAGAGATTAAAACGAGAATGACATGACATAGCTTATAATGGCTGCTGGCATGGACATTGCTTCATCGCCACATACAAATCCCGGCATGTAATAGGATAAACACCAGAAATGTATTTACGTACAGACGAACACCAGCTGGTCATAACGCTACTACTAAGACCTCATCACTTACTATTTAAATAGCAGTCCTTTCTTTTACAGCCTCTTTAGTGTATCACTTCAATTATTACAACTCCAACTATACTTGCGGGCTGGGCTACAGGGTTACACTAGATATTTCTAGATATTTAAAACTTCAATGAAAATGTCAGCACATTAACGCAAATACTCCTGCTGTCAGTTTGTACCATAAAGTGACTATTTTCCTTTCGCATTTTCTCGATTTCAAATTAAAACTTGTGAAATGTTCACTTCCCAAAATTAATTATAGTTTAAATACATTTTAACTGAATATTACCTTTCCCAAAGTAAATTTTAAAAGTGTAATATATTTCATTAAATAATATAGACAAGTGTTGTCTATTTATTTTATTATGTAAATTCTTTTCATAACGTCTGATAAGCTTAATAACATTATCATTAAACGAAGAAAGAAAATCACAATATTGATCCATATTTTTTAATCCAATCTAAGCTTTCGGCTTACATAAGCCATAAAGAAAAAATGCTTCCTAAATACACACAATTTAAATAACATGATCCAGCAGCCCACAATACTCTCTCTCATATATATATATATATATATATATATATATATATATATATATATATATATATATATATAAGGGGAGGTTCTAGTTGTTCTAACGTGAGAAAAGTGTATATTTTAAATATATATTATAAATTATTTTCCATAAAGTATAATGTATATTAAAAACAAACAAACAAAAAAACATTATAGCCAAAAACGTATGCGACTTCATTCTTCTCTTTAATATATACATATATATATATATAACGTTTGATTTTTTTTCTACCTACATTTATATACGTTACAAATTAAATTAAACACAATTGACAGGATTAAAGTATGAATATTTTTCACGGATTTTGACGTTGTTCTGGGGTCTTTTTTCTTCGTCTAAAATCTGTGAATTTGTTTTGTTCATGCTAAGAAAATATTCGAAAAAATACTATATGAAATTTGCTATCTTTTATTCATAAGCTTGAATGTGTCAAGATAATTCAACTTTTTTTAACAAGAAAAAAAAATTCAAGTTGATGTTAAAAATTGCCATAAAACATTGATTTATTTAAGATGGATTGTCCCATTAGGACTTCTCTGTAATTTGTATTTACATTCTATTTTTTTATCAATTTTTCTAGTGGAATTATTTACATTGTTGTACATAATTGGGTTACAACAAAATCTATATTTTATATGAATACTGCCTTATGAAAATTGAGATGTACTAGATATAATAGTTTCGGGGTGGACACACATGAACTTTCCACCGGCTCTCTCATATATATATATATATATATATATATATATATATATATATATATATGTTAAGAGGTCCTGAATCATAAACGCGTCGTTCTGCTTGGGTGACAACGGATAAAAATAAGGTTGTTTCTAAACCTCGCCATCGGTCAGTGTTCAGGTCCAGCTAAAGGCCAGGATTTTGATGGCCAATTCTCATGTCATGGAGACAGAGGAATGGCATAACACATTCGAGTCCTAATTTTGCCTTGTGTCATTGAAAGCGACGTTGAAAGGTTCTCGGATTGGTTATGCCCTTCTCAATCCCCCAAAGAGGCTTACCCGGATTAAGGACAGTGAGCCGAGAAATTTTCAGATCTCCTCGTATTAAGCGCCAACTTCAGTAAACTGTAAAGGCTAAAAATCCGAATGCTGATTTTCAAAGATGGTAGAGGTCCCCACTCACCAGCATCCCAGGAAGAATAGGGTATCGTAATCAAATTTTAATTTCAACAGCGACACTACTGCCAAATCGGCAACATTCATTTACAGATATTTGAGGGGTACAACCTATCAAAATTTAAAGGTTTGTCCAAAGAAACACCGTGAAAACAGCAGATAACATCCTTAATGAGCTTGAGTAGATGGATGGCAGAGCAAGTTTAGGATAGATAACAAAAAGGACACAATTTATTAAGAGCTACAATGGACAGGAAATCGTGGAGACCCATGATTGCCAAAGTCCTGAAGGGACACGGCACATAGAAGAAGAAGAATGAGTTTGTGTAAATGGATGGCGGAACAAGGTTTAGGAGAGTTAAAAAAAAAGTTTTAAGAGCTACAAAGTAGAGGAAATTGTGGAGAGCCATGATCGCCAACGTCCTAAAGGGACACGGTACATAGAATGATTTATTTTGTGTAAATCGATGGCAGAACAGGGCTTAGAAAACAAAAAGACGAAATTTATTAAGAGCTACAAAAGACAGGAAATTGTGGAGAGCCATGATCGCCAACATCCTGAACAGACAGAGCACATAAATATGAAGGCAGCTTATTAAAAAAAAAAGGATCAAAAACGTATGAAAGTAACGTTTCTACAAGATTATCATACAGCCACCCCTCATTTATCGACTCACTTGTGTAGCAATACCCGGACTTACGACTGTCTATAAAAATCACGTAAAATAAAAATACAAATTTTTCACTTTGATTTTAATTGTTTTCTCTTCCAAATGAAATGAAATTAATACATAAAATGAAAAACTAAATAAAAATTACTTGCACTGTATTTACAATATGCAAATCGGATTAATGTCCAGTATATATATATATATATATATATATTTGTTGGGTTTTACGGCATGTCAACCTCTGATGAGTCATTTTCAATGTCCATTATATAGAGCTGATTTTAGAAATGTCATTATTACGTAAACTACTGTACTGCTTAAACATTTTGAACTAAATTAGACATTTGACGAATGGTGCAAAAGTGATATTAAAAGCTTTCTGAATCTGCTTGATACAAACCCATTACACGCGTAGCATGCCTGAAATAGCGGTCATGTAAAAAAAATCTCGCTTAGCGACCACATTGTTGGCGCGTAACTCAGTCGTTAACCGAGGAGCGGCTGTATTAGTAAAATCTGCGAGGCCCAGAACAAAAATAGCCGATTTTTTTTTAGTCGGAACTGAAATCTACGATTCGGTCATCGTGGTTTTTAGATGTCTAGTAAGAGGAAAATATGCGACGGGAAGCAGGAAAATTAAAGAGTTCATGCCTTTTGAAAGATTACAGACAAGAGAGAGAGGGAGAGAGGGGGGAAACAAATAAAGCGACGTTGTTTCAACATCGGAATTTGTCAGAAGCCAAACTTGTAATGAGAAGAAACTAATTTACTTTATCAAACATCTCGTCTTATTGCAATGGCTACTGCAACTAACACTACTGCTTGTTTAGTACTACCGTTTTAATACCGAGTGCTGCTTCTAACTGGTGTCTCGCTAGAGCCATGACGGGAACCGCGGCACAAGTAAGGCGTGATAAATGTTTCGCCAATCAATTTATCAGATTAATTGAACAAATTCAATTTCGAAGCAAGCCGTACAAATTACATCCAATTCCATTTGTCAGCTTGTAAATGAAAATACCTCTGTTTCTTACTCCCTATCTCGCTTCAGCCCAGTTCCGTATTCATTCGTACGGTCATTTCGTCCGTCCAATTTCTCTCTCTCTCTTTTTCGCGCGCGCGGTCTTTTCATTTCCTGATGCACTTTAGTGTATCGCTTGTCTATTTTTATCTTTATCTTTCTCTAAGAGCTGAATTTTTCTGTCTGTAGCCAACTTCGCGTTCGGATTGCCTATGTGTTTCGTTTTCTTCTCATTGTCTTTATTTTTTCGGTTTCCCCACCCTGACCCCGATCATCTCATATTTTCTTTCTCTTTAACCCAGTCCGAGTAATTCTTTTTCATTCCGTGTTTTCTTTCTCTTTAAACAATCGTCCCAATGTTCCTCTCACTTTTCTTTCTTTTTTTCTTTCTTCCTCTCTGCTCACTCTTTCTTTTCTCCTCTTTCAAACCATCGTCCTGTTGTAGCTTTCTCTTTTCCTCTCCAGGTTTTTTCTCTTTCTTTCCTTTTTTCTCACCTCAGCCCCAATGTGTATTTCTCGAGTCTTCTTTTTTTTTTCTTTAATATATATTTCATCGATCCTGTCTTTTTTTTTCTTTCTATGTTTCTCCATTATTTTTCCTTTCTCTCACTATCCTTTGATCTTTCTTTTTCCTCATTCATCCTGTCATTTGCCTATATTCTTCTTTTTCTTTTCTCAATTCTTCATTGCCCCCCCCTCTCTAATCTTCCTGACCCTTGGACTTTTTTCTTCATTTCCTCTCTCTCTCTCTTATCCTCTGTTTTCTTCTTCTTCCTTCCGTTCTTTCTTTCTTTTCGCCATTTTCCTTCTATCTTTCACTATCTGTCTCTCTCTACACCGTTTTCTTTCAGTATTTTTCCTTTCCTCGTCAGCCCTTTCTTGTCGGCCTGTTTTTAGTCTTCTTTATCAAAAGGTTTCTATTATTTCTTCTTCTTCTTCTTTTCTCCTATGGCTCCTTGCTTTTTCGATTCTTCTTTCCCGGTCAGTATTTTTCTCTTTTCATTCCCAGTTTCGATTTTTTTTCCCTTTATTTCCACTTTTTTCTTCCTTTTCTGTGAGCAACCCAATTTTAACTCCCCCCCTCCGTTTTCCGTCCTCGTTTCAAACTGCTCTCTCTCCTTTTCTCTTCTCTCTCATCCATTATTTTATTCCAGCTCTCTTTTACCGTCTCATTTACCGTTCTTCGGTTTAGTAATTTTTCCTTTTTACATTCTTTTTCTTTTTTAAATTTATTTTTAATCTACTCTTCCTCTCTTCTTTGTAACGAATATTTTATTTGCTAAGCTTAGCTTATTTTTGCCTCAGTGGCAGAAGAAGAGGCACCCAGTGAGGATCAAACTCACTAACTTGTGAGAACAGCTTTCTAACTCTTACATTAGGACGAAACGGCCTTGTTTTAAATATTTTGATCCACTTAATCTGCGCCGAGTTAAAATTCTCTTTTTCTATCATTTACTACGTTTCGCTTCTTTCTCTTCTAAATTCTCATGCACTCAATTCCAATTTTGTCCAATTTCAATGTCCGCCCCCGCCACCCGCCACCTCACAGATGATTCTGTCTCTTTGCACCCTCTCTCATTGAACGTGTTCCTTCTTTTTTTTTTTGTTGTTTCTTCAGTTTTCTCGTTGATGGATTCCCTTCCTGTCTTCCTCAAAATTTCCATCGCTCTGGGCATCCGACTCGTGTTAAATTAATTCTGAAATTAGTGCATTATATCCCTTTTTCCGACTTTTCACAGACGGCTGAGAGAGAGAGAGAGAGAGAGAGAGAGAGAGAGAGAGGGGGGGAGGGTGAACATAGATGAATTAAGAGAGAGAGGAAGAAACGAAAAGAGAGAGAGAGGAAGAAACGAAAAGAGAGAGAGAGAGGGGAAAGAGAGAGAGAGAGGGGGGAAAAGACGAAAAGAGAGAGAGGGGAAAAGACGAAAAGAGAGAGAGGGGAAAAGACGAAAAGAGAGAGAGGGGAAAAGACGAAAAGAGAGAGAGAGGGGGGAAAGACGAAAAGAGAGAGAGAGGGGAAAAGACGAAAAGAGAGAGAGAGAGGGGAAAAGACGAAAAGAGAGAGAGAGAGGGGAAAAGACGAAAAGAGAGAGAGAGGGGGAAAAGACGAAAAGAGAGAGAGAGGGGGAAAAGACGAAAAGAGAGAGAGAGAGGGGAAAAGACGAAAGAGAGAGAGGGGGGAAAAAGACGAAAGAGAGAGAGAGGGGGGAAAAGACGAAAAGAGAGAGAGAGGGGGGAAAAGACGAAAAGAGAGAGAGAGGGGGAAAAGACGAAAAGAGAGAGAGAGAGAGACGGAAAACGAAAAAGAGAGAGAGAGACGGACGGTAACGAAAAGAGAGAGAGAGAGAGACGGACGGTAACGAAAAAGAGAGAGAGAGAGAGACGGACGGTAACGAAAAGAGAGAGAGAGAGAGACGGACGGTAACGAAAAGAGAGAGAGAGAGAGACGGACGGTAACGAAAAAAGAGAGAGAGAGAGACGGACGGTAACGAAAAGAGAAAGAGAGAGAGAGAGAGACGGAACGAAAAAGAGAGAGAGAGAGAGACGGACGGTAACGAAAAGAGAGAGAGAGAGAGAACGGTAACGAAAAAGAGAGAGAGATATAGGAAAAGAGAGAGAGAGATATAGGAAAAGAGAGAGAGAGAGAGGAAAAGACAGAGAGAGAGAGAGAGGAAAAGAGAGAGAGAGAGAGAGAGGAAAAGACAGAGAGAGAGAGAGGAAAAGACAGAAAGAGAGAGGAAAAGACAGAAAGAGAGAGAGAGAGAAAGAAATGGAGAGAGACGGACGGTAACGAAAAGAGTGTAAAAAATAGATAAAATATAATCCTCATCTCCGAGCTTTCTTGGTGGCCGATGTAACCACCGTTTTCCTCCAATGCCAGTGGTCGGTGTTCGAGACTAGCTAAAAGCTAGGATTTCCAATTCAAATTACTGAGGCATATTCGCCATTTCCTGCTTGCTGTAATAGATAATCATGCAACCAACGCAGACCGGTGTCACACTAAGTTGATGCCTATATATATATATATATATATATATATATTAGAAACTGACAGATGAATGTTGATATGAAAACTAGACTTAAATGAAAAAAAATATAGCAATAACTTTCGCAACTGCTCAGGTTAGTGCGACAGAATCGAGCCACTGTTAAAAGCTTTATGTCCATCATGGCGTTTTTTTTTTGTTTTTGCTTTTCTCTTCTGCAATCTTTTCTATTAGTCTCAACGATCTTTCATTCAATCTTCTTCGTTCTTTCTCCTTCGTCTCCTTTGCGTTTCACTGTTCATAACACACTTTCTTCTCGCTTTTATTGTACGTTACTTCCTCGATAAGTTTTGTTTATTTTTATTTTACGTTTCTCCCAAACCCGATCATCCCTGCCGTTCTCTTAGCTTTGCCATCGATTCTAATTAAAATCTCCATAAATTGGCTGCCGAGAATAAAATGAAATGAAAACTCATCAGTGGACAAATGAGGTTTCTGTGTGAGTTGATCAAGAGAGGCATGTCAACAACAGACGACAATTGGGTTTCCACGAAAACATATTGGAGAGAGAGAGAGTGAGAGAGAGAGAAAAGAGAGCCAGAGTGAAGGAAAGGGAAAGAAGGAGTGTAAAGAAGAAATGTAAGAGAGGGAGAGAGAGAGAGATAGAGGGGGGAATAATTGTTAAAATAGAAATAAAACCGAAATACATAGAAGTGAATAGGTGAGAGAGCGAGAAAGCAAAAGAGAGAGCGACAGGGGGGGGCAACGAAAAGAGAAATAGAAAAAGAGTGGGGGGGGCAACGAGAAAAAGAGTGCAGGGGGGGGGGCATGAGAAACAGTGCGGCGGGGGGGGGCTATGAGAAACATAAAAGATGGGGGTGGGGGGGGCGAGAAACATAGTGCGGGGGTGGGGGCAACGAGAAACATAGTGCGATGGGGGGAAACATGGGGGCAACGAGAAACATAGTGCGATGGGGGGGGGGGGGCAACGAGAAAGAAAACATATTGCGGTGGAGGAGGGGCTACGAGAAAGAAAAACATATTGGTGGAGGAGGGGGGCTACGAGAAAGAAAAACATATTGAGGCGGAGGGGGGGGGCTACGAGAAAGAAAAAACATATTGAGGCGGAGGGGGGGGGGCAAAGAGAAAGAGAAAGAAAAAGGAGGGGCGGGGCAAAGAAAAAAAAGAGAGAAAAAGAGAGAGCGGCGCTGGGCAACAGTACGAAAGGAGAAAGAAAGACGGGAAGGTGTTAAGTTTCAAAAAGCGAAAACGGAGTGAGATAATGTAAGAAAAGCAATGTGACGCTATTATCTACAAGAGCTATCTGCCAAAGATCATTAATTCCCAAGTATTAATTCACATACTAGCACAGTGGGCTATGGCGCGTACACAGAGTTCAATTCGGACGAGATTCCCCAGTCGTGTCCTTGTGCCAACCGACTCTAAACTCACGAAGACTCCACATTGCAATGATATCGTTACTGACAAGACACCATGCCATGAAGCGATTTAAAGAGTAACCTTGAAATATTTCAGACAGAATCGTTCTGAAGAATTTAAATTTTTAGTGAACTTTTTTACTCGTGCATTTTTTTAAAACCTACAATTCTATAGATTATCATTACATATGTTAACGCACATAAGAACAGGGACAAGAACAGTATGCCTTATGATCTTGTTAGTAAAGGCTCTGTCCATTAAGCTATCATCAGAGCCAAGAGACGGGGAGGGAAACGTGAGTGACGATCTACAGTGACAATAACATTAATAAAAGTAATGAAATTGGTTTTGATGAAAAGAGGCTTTAGTGAAATTGAATGAACAAAAAGTACGGATAAGCGAGTGTGTGAAAAGATAAAAGTGAAGAAAATAAATCTTGGCGTATCAATAGGAAAGGGAGAAAGAAAATGTAAGGCTTTTGAATAAGAGAGGTGGGAGAGGGAGAATAAATTCGAAAGGTTTCGGCTAAATGGTGCGAGCACTGGAATAAAGGTGATGAGACGCGATTCCATATAAACTGGCTGGATAAAGATGAAAAAAAAGGAAGATAGGGAAAAGCGTGTAAAAGAAAACAGAAATAGAACAAGAGGGGAGGGCATAGAGAGAGAGAGAGAAGAAAAAGAACAAGCGAAGAAAGAGAGAGAGAGAGAAGAGAAAGAACAAGCGAAGAAAGAGAGAGAGAGAGAAGAGAAAGAACAAGGAAGAAAGAGAGAGAGAGAGAAGAGAAGAACAAGAACAAGAAAGAGAGAGAGAGAGAGAAGAGAAAGAACAAGCGAAGAAAGAGAGAGAGAGAGAGAAGAGAAAGAACAAGAAAGAAAGAGAGAGAGAGAGAGAAGAAAAGAACAAGGAAGAAAGAGAGAGAGAGAGAGAAGAGAAAGAACAAGGAAGAAAGAGAGAGAGAGAGAAGAGAAAGAACAAGAAGAAAGAGAGAGAGAGAGAAGAGAAAGAACAAGGAAGAAAGAGAGAGAGAGAGAGAGAGAAAGAACAAGCGAAGAAAGAGAGAGAGAGAGAGAGAAGAGAAAGAACAAGCGAAGAAAGAGAGAGAGAGAGAAGAGAAAGAACAAGCGAAGAAAGAGAGAGAGAGAAGAGAAAGAACAAGCGAAGAAAGAGAGAGAGAGAAGAGAAAGAACAAGCGAAGAAGAGAGAGAGAGAGAGAGAAGAGAAAGAACAAGCGAAGAAAGAGAGAGAGAGAGAAGAGAAAGAACAAGCGAAGAAAGAGAGAGAGAGAGAGAAGAGAAAGAACAAGCGAAGAAAGAGAGAGAGAGAGAGAAGAGAAAGAACAAGCGAAGAGAGAGAGAGAAGAGAAAGAACAAGAGAAGAAAGAGAGAGAAGAGAAAGAACAAGAGAAGAAAGAGAGAGAGAGAGAAGAGAAAAAAAGAGAAGAGAGAGAGAGAAAGAAAAGAACAAGAAAGAAAGAGAGAGAGAGAAAGAACAAGAGAAGAAAGAGAGAGAAGAGAAAGAACAAGAGAAGAAAGAGAGAGAGAGAAGAGAAAGAACAAGAAGAAAGAGAGAGAGAGAGAGAGAAGAGAAAGAACAAGAGAAGAAAGAGAGAGAGAGAAGAGAAAGAACAAGGAAGAAAGAGAGAGAGAGAGAGAAAGAACAAGGAAAAAGAGAGAGAGAGAGAAGAGAAAGAACAAGCGAAGAAAGAGAGAGAGAGAGAGAAGAGAAAGAACAAGCGAAGAAAGAGAGAAGAGAAAGAACAAGCGAAGAAAGAGAGAGAGAGAGAGAAGAGAAAGAACAAGCGAAGAAAGAGAGAGAGAGAGAAGAGAAAGAACAAAGGAAGAAAGAGAGAGAAGAAAAGAAAACAAGCGAAAGAAAGGAGAAGAGAAAGAAAAGGAAGAAAGAGAGAAGAGAAAGAAAAGAGAAGAAAGAGAGAGAGAGAGAAGAGAAAGAATAACCTGCCAGAAAGAGAGAGAGAGAAAAACGAAAGCCTGGAAGAAAGAGAGAAGAGGCTGAAATGAAGAGAGAGAAGAATCGAGAGCTAAAAGAAAGTGTAGCGATTTAAGAAGAAGAGAATGCATCAACCTGAGAAAGAGAAAGAGACGTTTAAGAACAAGCGTCGAAAGAGAGACGAGAGAGAGAAGAGAAAAAACAAGCGAAGAAAGAGAAACGAGAATCATAGAAAGAATTCCATTGAAGAAAGAGAGAGAGAGAGAGAAGAGAAAAAAACAAAAAAAAAAAGGGAGAGAGAGAGAAGAGAAAGAAACGACGAAGAAAGAGAGAGAGAGATGAAGAGAAGGTCATCACAGAGAGAGAGAGAGAAATAGAAAGACCGAAGCGAAAGTTTGAAAGATTGAGCAGAGAGAAAGAGAAAGAAGAAAAGAAGAGAGAGAGAGAGAAGAGAAAGAACAAGACGAAAGAGTATTGAGAGAAGAGAAAGAACAAGGAAGAAAAGAGAGAGAGGGAAGAGAAAGAACCCCCAAGAAAATAAAATCTGAAAAATTTAAATATCCAGCAGATCGATGCCGATTTCTGAATGTCTGAAAGTAGGATGCCTGATTGTATATATGGCTATTTATAAATATAAATATAAAACACAGAGTGGATATTGGGAGAGAGAAAGCCTTAGAAAGAGAGAGAGAGGGAGAAGAGAACGCGATCAGAACTGATCGCTAAAGAAAGTGTAGAGATTTGAGAGACGGTTAAGAGAGAGAGAAGACGCGAGAGAGAAGAAATCTGACGTTTAAGAGAAAGCGTCGAATTGTTACGACTCGTTACCACAAACACCTCTCGCCAGGGAAACGAGACGCGAGAGAATTCCATTGCGTGAACGGGCGAAAATCGTATTGCAGTTAGAAAAAACAACAAAAAACAGGGACCCTTAGACCCTTATTTATGAAACGACAATCATTCTTCACGGCAGATGAACAGAAGGTCACATAAAGAGAGAAATGGGGGGGAAATAACAAAAGAGAGAAAGAGAAAGAAAGAAAGTTGGCTTTAAGAGAGAGAAAGAGAAAGTAATGTCTGATTGTAAAGAGAGCAAGATAAGACGATATAGTATTGGATGTTGGTCTTGTTTTATTTTCGACGGAAAGCACACGATGGGGCTGTTGATAAACCGAGAGAAACACAAAGAAAGGTTGAAAAAACAAAGAGAGAAAGAGACGAAAGAAAGGTTGATTCAGAGAGAGGATGCCTGATTGTTGTGGCTCTTTGAAAACAGGTAAATAAACACATAATGGATATTGGGAGAGAGAGATATGTTAGAAAGAGAGAGAAGTGTGAGAGAGAGAAACGTGTGTCAGTGTGAGAGAGAGAGAGAGAGAAAGAAAGTGTGTCATAAACAGAGAGAGAGAGAGAGAGAAAACGTGTGTCAGTGAGAAAGAGAAAGAAAGTGAGAAAGAGAGAGAGAAAAGAGAGAGAGAGAGAGAGAAACGCGTGAGAGAGAGAGAGAGAGACGCGTGAGAGAGAGAGAGAGAGAAAGGTTGAGAGAGAGAGAGAGAGAGAGAAGAAAGTGTTGATGTGAGAGAGAGAGAGAAAGAGTGAGAGAGAGAGAGAGAGAGAGAGAGAGAGAGAGACGTTGATAAGAGAGAGAGAAAGAGAAAGAAAGAGAGAGAGAGAGAGAGAGAAAGAGAGAAAGGTTGAGAAACAGAGAGAGAGAGAGAGAGAAACGCGTGAGAAAGAGAGAGAGAAAGAGAAAGAAAAGGTTGATAAAAAGAGAAAGAAAGTTATGAAGGAAAGGATGATAAACAGAGAGAAAGAGAAAGAAAAGAGAGATAAATCAGAGAAGAAAGAGAAAAAGATAAAAGAGAGAGAGAAAGAGAAAGAAAGGTTGATAAACAGAGAGAGAAAGAAAGGTTGATAAACAGAGAGAGAAAGAAAGGTTGATAAACAGAGAGAGAAAGAAAGGTTGATAAACAGAGAGAGAAAGAAAGGTTGATAAACAGAGAGAGAAAGAAAGGTTGATAAACAGAGAGAGAAAGAAAGGTTGATAAACAGAGAGAAAAAGAAGAAGGTTGATAAACAGAGAGAGAAAAAAGAAAGGTTGATAAATGAGAGAGAAAGAAAGGTTGATAAACAGAGAGAGAGAAAAGAAAGGTTGATAAACAGAGAGAAAAAAGAAAGGTTGATAAAACAGAGAGAAAAAGAAAGGTTGATAAACAGAGAGAGAAAGAAAGAAAGGTTGATAAACAGAGAGAAAAGAAAAAGGTTGATAAACAGAGAGAAAGAGAAAGAAAGGTTGATAAACAGAGAGAGAAAGAGAAAGAAAGGTTGATAAACAGAGAGAGAAAGAGAAAGAAAGGTTGATAAACAGAGAGAGAAAGAGAAAGAAAGGTTGATAAACAGAGAGAGAAAGAGAAAGAAAGGTTGATAAACAGAGAGGGACAGAGAGAAAGTATGATAAACACAGAGAGAGAAAAGAAAGTATGATAAACACAGAGAGAAAGAAAGTATGATAAACACAGAGAGAAAGAAAGTATGATAAACACAGAGAGAAAAGAAAGTGAGAGGATAAAAAACAGAGAGAAAGAAAGTATGATAAACACAGAGAGAAAGAAAGTATGATAAACACAGAGAGAAAGAAAGTATGATAAACACAGAGAGAAAGAAAGTATGATAAACACAGAGAGAAAGAAAGTATGATAAACACAGAGAGAAAGAAAGTATGATAAACACAGAGAGAAAAAAAGAAAAGTATGATAAAAAACAGAGAGAAAGAAAGTATGATAAACACAGAGAGAGAGAAAGAAAGTATGATAAACACAGAGAGAAAGAAAAGTATGATAAATACAGAGAGAAAGAAAGTATGATAAAATACAGAGAGAGAAAGAAGTAGATAAACACAGAGAGAAAGAAAGAAAAAAACAGAGATGAAAAATACAGAGAGAAAAGAAAGTATGATAAAACACAGAGAGAAAGAAAGTATGATAAACACAGAGAGAAAAGAAAGTAAAGGATAAAAACAGAGAGAAAGAATAAACACAGAGAGAAAGAAGAAAATACAGAAGAAAGAGTATGAGAAATACAGAGAGAAAGAAAGTATGATAAACACAGAGAGAAGAAAGAAAGTATGATAAACACAGAGAGAGAGAAAGAAAGTATGATAAACACAGAGAGAGAGAAAGAAAGTATGATAAACACAGAGAGAGAGAAAGAAAGTATGATAAACACAGAGAGAGAGAAAGAAAGTATGATAAACACTGAGATAGAGATAGAGAGAGAGAGAGACAGAGCGAGAGAATGTGCGAGGAGGAGGAGGAGGACGCGGGTGCAAATGTTGGATAGACAGAGAGAGAGAGAGAATTAAAATTTTAGGAAAAAAATAGAGAGGGATTTGCGTATGGCTAATATTATTAGTTGGAATAATGAAGTTGGACACATCCATGTCATTTACAATTTAAACGTAGAAAAAGATTCAAACCCTACAAACCCAACGAAATATGAGTTTGGGTAATAAATGAAATGAGAAGCGAATTCCGGCTCGGATTACATGGCACGGGTGGGGAACGGGTGTCAGGTAGATTTGTTTTAAAATACAGAAACCAAACACTTCCGCGTAATACAATAACCAGAAACAGTTTGTAAACAGGAGGTATATAATAAAATATATATATATATATATATATATATATATATAACGTGGGTGGTTTTAGAAACACTACAGAGAGAGAGAGAGAGAGAGAGTGGGGCCATTGTGTAAAAATGGAAAAAATACGTCAAACGGAAAATTGGATCTGAAAAACATACCATTGGCTACGGTCGAAAGAGGAAGGAAAAAAATGGATCTTCTTAGATTATATGGTAAGTAAGACGAAAAAAAGAAGGAAAATTTAATTTATTAGGTCGCCAACCGTAGCGTACGAATTAACCAAACCAGTCTTGCAGACCAATTCTCTAGGATAGCGAGTTGGATCCTCACCGGGTGCTCTACAGTACACCTAAAACCCATCAGTTAATCGTAAGTTTTGTTAATAATAAAGGTTGCCTACAGTAGCTCGTTAGCGTCAAATTGCTTCTCGCACGCCATTCGCTCATTGGATGCTTTATTAATAGAACCTTGAACCAGACTTAATTAAAAGTGGAAATTAGGAGGGTTCAGAATAAAAATAAAATAAAGTGAACACAGGTAACAGAACGAACAGGAAATAGAAGCCTAGGTAGTGCTGGTAGTTGAAGGGGACAGGCAGCATCTGCTAAATGAATATAACGGAAATGGAAATAAAGGCTAGACAATTAGGTATAGACTAGAAGAAAAGAAAGAAAAAAAGAAGGAAAAAAATAAAGGAGATAGTAGTAGTCTTAGACTAGATTCGAACTCGCTACTCCTATGCAGGGTGGGCAGGTGCGTGGGTCCGGTTATACAGTGTTACAAGTGCTGCTTCGACTCAGAAGTAATGGGGAAAAGGTGTTGGAGCTAGACTGCGGCCGTACGAGTAGAAATGGCTATATGTGTGATGCTGAACGGAAGGAAACGAAAGAGAGAAAAAAAAAGGTAAAAGATAATCAAGGGAGAGATAGAGAAAGAGATAGAGAAAGAGAAAGAGATAGAGAAAGAGATAGAGAAAGAGATAGAGAAACAGATAGAGAAAGAGAAAGAGAAAGAGAAAGAGATAGAGAAAGAGATAGAGAAAGAGATAGAGAGAGAGAAAGAGAGAGAAAGAGAGAGAGAAAGAGAGAGAGAGACAAAGAGAGAGAGAGACAAAGAGAGACAAAGAGAGAGAGAAAGACAAAGAGAAAGAGAGAGAGACAAAGAGAAAGAGAGAAAGAGAAAGAGAGAGAGAGAGAAAGAGAGAGAGACAAAGAGAGAGAGAGAGAGACAAAGAGAAAGAGAGAGACAAAGAGAAAGAGAGAGACAAAGAGAAAGAGAGAGACAAAGAGAAAGAGAGAGACAAAGAGAAAGAGAGAGACAAAGAGAAAGAGAGAGACAAAGAGAAAGAGAGAGACAAAGAGAAAGAGGGAGGAAATATTGTTGTTGTTCATGGTATTGAGGGCGGTGGGGTGCACAGGCGGCAGAATTAGACAAATAACCTGGTAATCGTTGTAATGCTAGCTGTAGTGGGGAAGATAGTGGGGTATGTCGAGCAAAAGTACGGACGAGTAATTACAAATTAGAAAAGGATAGGTTAACATTCAAAGAGAGGGAGGGGAGACATCGAAGCTGGAGAGATTTCATTTATCGGGTAGCTGGGTAGTTAAAGAGAGTAAGGTAATGCGATATTATTAAAACAGAGAGAGGAAAGACGGGCGACTGTACGGAAGAGTAGAAATAGGAAATAGAGGATGGACGTCGGTCGACGGGTCGTAGAAGTAACGAGAGAGAGAGAGAAAAAGGAGGGACAAAATAGAGAGATGAATGAGAAGCAAGAAGCGAGGCGCGAGGGTAGAGGAAATCGTGGTGTGAATCCTACATGAAGAAATGGGTTCAAGACAGACTTTAATTTCCGGAATTGAACATTTTGATTCAGACGAAGAGGCAAGGAGTAGAAGCAACGACGGCGACATGCGGGTAAAAACGTGTTAGAAGCCATTCAAGATTGGAGAGAGAGAGAGAGAGGGAGGGAAGTAGAGAGAGAGGGAGGGAAGGAAGAGAACGACAAAAAGAGAAATGCAAGATGGGACAGAGGAGCGAGAGAAAACTGAGAAGACAGAGAGAGAAAAAATGGGAAGAAGAGAGAGAGAGAAAAAAAATTGGGAAGAGAAGAGAGAGAGAGGGAGAGAGAGAGAGAAAATTGGGAAGAGAAGAGAGAGAGGGAGAGAGAGAGAGAAAAATTGGGAAGAGAAGAGAGAGAGAGGGAGAGAGAGAGAAAATTGGGAAGAGAAGAGAGAGAGAGGAGAGAGAGAGAGAGAGAAGAGAGAGAGAGAGAGAAAAGAGAGAGGGAGAAATTGAGAGAGAGAGAAAAGAGAGAAGGAGAGAGGGAGAGAGAGAGAAAAAAGGGAAGAGAAGAGAGAGAGAGGAGAGAGAGAAAATTGGGAGAGAGAAGAGAGAGAGGAGAGAGAGAGAGAGAAAAATTGGGAAGAGAAGAGAGAGAGGAAAAGGGAAGAGAAGAGAGAGAGGAGAGAGAGGGAAAAATTGGGAAGAGAAGAGAGAGAGGAGAGAGAGAGAAGAAATTGGGAAGAGAAGAGAGAGAGGGAGAGAGAGAGAAAATTGGGAAGAGAAGAGAGAGAGAAAAGAGGGAGAGAAGAGAGAGAGAAAATTGGGAAGAGAAGAGAGAGAGAGAGAAAGAGAAAATTGGGAAGAGAAGAGAGAAAGAGAAAATTGGGAAGAGAAGAGAGAGAGAGAAAATTGGGAAGAGAAGAGAGAAAGAGAAAATTGGGAAGAGAAGAGAGAAAGAGAAAATTTGGGAAGAGAAGAGAGAGAAGAGAAGAGAAGAGAAGAGAAAAAAAAATTGGGAAGAGAAGAGAGAGAGAAAAAAGGGAAGAGAAGAGAGAGAGAAAAATTGGGAAGAGAAGAGAGAGAGAAAAATTGGGAAGAGAAGAGAGAGAGAAAAATTGGGAAGAGAAGAGAGAGAGAAAAATTGGGAAGAGAAGAGAGAGAGAAAAATTGGGAAGAGAAGAGAGAGAGGGAGAGAAAGAGAAAATTGGGAAGAGAACAGAGAGAGAAAAATTAGAGAAAAATTGGGAAGAGAGAGGGAGAGAAGACAGAGGGAGGAGAGAGGGAGAGAAGACAGAGGGAGGAGAGAGGGAGAGAAGACAGAGGGAGGAGAGAGGGAGAGAAGACAGAGGGAGAGAGAAGGAGAGAAGACAGAGGGAGGAGAGAAGGAGAGAAGACAGAGGGAGGAGAGAGAGAGAGAAGACAGAGGAGGAGAGAGGGAGAGAAGAGAGAGGGAGGAGAGAAGGAGAGAAGACAGAGGAGGAGAGAAGAGAGAGGAGAGAAGAGAGAGGGGAGAGAAGAGAGAGGGAGAGAGAGAGAGGGAGAGAAGAGAGAGAGAACGTGAGAAAAAGAGAGGAATGAAAAAAGAGTGAGAGAGAACGAGAGAGAAAAGAAGAGGGAGAAGAAAAGAGGGGAGAGAAAAAGAGGGAAAAAGAGAGAGAAAAGAGGAGGAAAAAAAGAGGGGAGAGCAATAAAAATAAGGAGAGAAAAAGCGAGTACAAAGGGAGAGAAGACGCGGAGAAAACAAATAGGAAAAGAGACAAAGAGGAGAGAAAAGAGAGTAAAATAAGAGAGAAAATAGCACAAGGGGAGAAAAAAAGCAAAAAAGGGGGGATAGCTCAAAGGGTGAGGTGAAAAAAGCGCAAAGGGGTAAAAGCGAAGAGAAAAAAGAGAAAAGAGAGAGACTGTTATTCAAAATAGAGCGTCGATCACACATACAAATAGTGATTTATTCATATTATAGGAATAAAAGCGAGACGTTGTTTTTCTCCCGATGTAGTTGAGGGGGAGGGGGTCTTGAGAGGAAATAACGCGGCAACTACTGCAACTGCTTCCTATTTCAGCTCCTGATTCTACAGCAGCTCAGACGGCCAGCTTCTAGTCGGCAGATAACATTCATTTGTACAGAAGACGACTAGAAAATGGGAAAACATTTTCCGTAAATAGGCCGTGGCTCGTCTCTCAAACACGTCTTCAGACTATTAATCGGTGTGCGAAGATCGACAACACTCGAGCGACTTCCAATAGGAAATCACAATTGTTTCCTGATGTTTACTTCAAGATATACAATAGAAAAGACGGAAAAGTTCTCAGCCCTTCCAATTGTTTCGTCATTCGATCAAATTTTGGGGAAAAAAAAAAGTCGAAATGAACACATTCAGTTCATCTATCTCAACGCAGGTCTCCAAGAGAGAAATTCTTGGAGAACTACGTCAAGATGTATTAACAAGACGTTGGCAAATAGCCATGGCCCTCCACAAGCTCCTGGCCTTTTAACCTCTCAGTAACGTTTTTCTCTTTGCTATCTCTCCTAATCCCTGTTCTGCCAATTAGTTACACATGTTCTTTTCTCACTGTCTCTCTCTCTTGCCTTCATCATGATCTGTGAGTGTCAAATTCTCCCAGCCTACTTTCCGCAATATGGGCTCTACAAATTTCAATTGACTCTGGTTCTAAGTGTGCTTTTTGTTTCCGTTTTTATTAAGACTTTGTCGTTGCTCACGTGTTCAATCCATAGTATCCTCAGCACCCTGCTGTAAAACCCCATTTCGGCTGTTTCAAGCCCCGACATCTGCTGTGATATTGTTCAGCATTCACTGCCATATAGAAGGAACGATATTACATAACAGTTCAGTTTTCTTTTCTTTGTTTACGACGAAAGTTACAAAGCGTGTATAACTAATGTGGTCACCAATAATGAATCCTGGTAGGACTTGTTCTCTCAGGATCGTTTTGCTGCAAAGGTTGAATGTCCGGTGAGAAGGCAAATCCTTGTCTCATATCCTACTTTTTTT